ATAACTTAAACAAGACTATCTTTATGTATGAACTAACTAAGAGTAAATTGTACACCATTAATATGTCCTTACTGGCTTTTTCATAAATGGTCTCCTGGCCCTGTGTGTGTGTGTGTGTGTGTGTGTGTGTCTATGTCTGCATATTCAATATTCTCTAATGAATACTAATAGTCTGAACTGACAACAGAGATGTTTCCTGCAGCTTTATTTACAATAGTAAAAAATTTTAAAAAGCAATAGTAAAAAATTTAAACAACATACATTATCAACACTGGAAATATGGTTAAGTAAATTATATTATTATTTCCAAAGTAATTATATGTCATGATATTGTTTTAATATAATGTAGTAAAGTACTGAAGTAAAAGATATTAGTGTATCCACAGATATGTTAAAATGCATTTTAAAAAACTGAAAGGAAATATTCAAAATGTTAACAGTATTTGCCTCTTGGAGATGGAATCATTAAAAAAATTTATTGTGTTTTTATGAATAACTATTTACATACAGACTACCAATGGAAAAATAATTGTAATGTTTACTAACCAGAGGCAAAATTTACAAAATATAAATAAATAATCAAGGACTTCTGAATTGAGTGTAGTTGAGTATACTAATAAAAACCTTATGAAGAGGAGCACCTGGGTGTCTCTCTCTCTCTTGAATGAATAAAATCTTTAAACATAAAAAAAATTTTAAAAACCGTATGAATGAATGACTATAAGGACCTAAAATAACTTTTAAATTAAAACACTACAAAATTAAAATTTCAGAATGAGCATCAAGTTAAAAATCAGTTAAGTTTCCTACACCACACCCCTAAGAGGCAACTTTTGAGGAAAAGTAAAAAGAAAAAGGAAGTCCAAGTGGAGAAAAGAGAGGACAAAAAAGAGACTAAACACAAAGGAAAGTACGTCAGATCTTTAAAGCAGTAGATGTCAGTTTGCTCTTTTTTTTTCCTGCCTCTATACTACTCATAAGCACAACATATTCCCATCACCTCTCTCATTATCTAGAATGATTCTTGGAACAGATGGTCTTAATCCTGGGGAAACGTGTGTGTAAGGTTTCAAAAAGTATCCCAGATCAAGGCTGAAGTTATGACAAGTTCTCCAGACTGGAGTGATAAGCTCTACCTCTCCAAATTTAGTAAAGATTTTGTCTAGGGAATTTATGGATTGAGGTAGAGTCCATATAAGAAGAGTTATAAGAAACTAATTTGTTTCAATGATGTCTTATCTTCTCAGAATAGGTATCAATCAAGGAGAGTCTCTTATCCCTAACCTAGGATAGGAACAGGCCCCAGGTATGTACTTCTACCATTACAACACACATCATTCTTACTCCTCCTACTCAATATCAGTGATCAATTAGATTTTAGGCTGTAAGAGGTAAAGAGTAAAGGCAGTTAAAAGGTTACCTATGCAGATAACAGTGGGGAGAGCTTTCAGGCAGTGAAAGCCAAGTGCAAAGACCTTGAGGTTGAAGAATACTTGGATGTTCAAGGGAAAAAAAAGAATTAAGTGTGGCTGCAGTGGAGAGATGAAGGAGAAGGGGAAGATGAGATCAGAGAGGTGATGCAGAACCAGATCATGTACGGTCTCCCAGCTTGTAGTGAGAACTTGGGTTCTTACTTTTATGAGGTAGGAAGCAGTGGAGGGAGCTGAAAAAGGGAGGATTTAATTTGACTTACTTAGTTGTAGCAAGAACATGCAGGCATCTGTGTTGAGAATGGACTCCAAGGGAATAAGGTCAGGAGCAAAGAAATAGAGTGGGAAACTACTGCAATAGTCCATGTAATACTTTATAGTGGTTTGGACAGAACGGCGACAGCACGGATGGTGCAAGTAGCAGAATTTCAGACATATATTGAAGGCAGAGCACACAGGAGTTTAGTTTTGAAGATGTGAAGTCTGATATGCCTATTAGGCAGCCAAGTTAAGAAATGTTAAGTAGACAGTTACATATACTCTTTCCTAAAGTTCAGGGAAAAGATCCAGAGTAGATAATCAAATCTGGGGGTCATCAGCATAAGGACAGTTTCAATTTTGAAAGCCAAGATGACTGGATAAAATCACCGAGGGGGTGAGTTTAAACACAGGGGAAAAAAAAAAAAAGGCATCCTAAGATTTGGGCCTGAGACATTCTAACACTGAGGTGACATGGCGACAAGGAAAAGACCAGAAAGGAACAGAAAAGAACAGCTAGAACTGAAGGAAGAAAGCGACACAACTGCAGGTGCCTGCAAATCAGGAGGGAAAGAAAAAAAAGAAGGTATTTCAAGGCACAGAGAGTCATCAATTAAGACGCATTCTGCTGATAAATGAAGTAAGATAAAGATTGATACATGCTCATTGAATTGAGCGATGTGGGGGTCACACGTAATTCTGAAGAGAAATTTTAGCAGAGGGAAAGGGACAAACACTTGACTGGAGCTGGTTCAAGAGAGGACAGGAGAGATGAACTCTGAGATAACTTAAGTCTTTCAAGGAATACGGCTGGAAAAAGAAAGAAAGAGAAGGAAGGGAAGAAAAGGAACATAGTGAGGTCAATACATGTTTTTTGTTGTGTGTTTTGTTCTTTTCCCCGGATCAGAGACATACCAGCCTATTTGTATGTGAGGAAAAAATGATGCTATAAACGAGAAGGGAACCATCTCCTTCTGTGGGCAAGTTTATAACAACAAAACGTTGGAGAAGGAGACCTTAATGAGCAGCAAATTAGACTGTAAATTCACACTATATATGCATGCTGGAGGACAGTGAGGAGCAGGAGGAGAGCCAGCACTCTATGGATTGTCATGAAAATAAATCCACGGCATATTACTTGAAAAATGGTACGTTAAAGAACAGTAAAGATAGTGTAAGTTCATAAATATTAAAATTATAATATGCCTAGACTTGTGGTATGTGTGTATGTACACTCACACAGAATATCTAATGCAGGCAAATCTGGAATGACTACTCAGATGATTACCCCTGGGGAGGGGATGAAATGAGTTGGGTGGAGTGGAAGGATATTCGAATCTGTTAGACTAGCACTATCAGGCCTTCTAGAATATTATTTCAATATCTTATAATAATGTATTCTTGTAATGTTTGTATATTTAACAAAGAAAATAACTTAAAAATATTCTGTTCTTCTAGAGAAACTCTCTGATACATTCAAATATTAAGAGTGGTTGCTTTTGGGACAGGGGCTTCAGGTAGGAGTACAGAAGACTATTTTTTTGCTTCATACACTTCTGTATTATTTGAAAGTTTATCACAATATTTAAGTATTCAGTTGTTTGAAATGATGTAGAATCTGTAAAAGTTCTCAGGTAGGTTATAAAAGAGATGATTGCTCTCTGTAGAGGTTGCTAAGGAAAAATCAACCAAAAAACAGAATTAAGGCTGAAACATTTTGTCTCAAATTTTTAGTTAAGCAACTAAAAAAAATTTCTTAGAACACAAGATTGAAAAATGAAATAGCAAAGGACACACTGCCTTTTTCTTCCTCCTTACTTCCTCTTTACTTGCTGAGAGTAGAAAGAGAAAAAGAAGTATTAGCACATAAGAGAAAAAAAGGGTTACGAGGCTTATTACCAAGGAACTTTAAAGACATATTTGAATATAAATTGCCATATGTGGGGGACTTTTAAGCAAAAATTGGGAGAGAGAAATGTTTGAGGTAAATATACAAGTGAAAAACATGAAAAAAATTAAAGTTACTGATAATATCCAATTTTTCAAGTCATTTTAGCAATGGAGCCTGGTTTAGAAGCAAAAGCATAACGGGCAAATCCCACCATTCAAAACAAAAAGGTGAAGCTGCTCTCTTCGAAATGGAGAGAACAGGCACTGCCCTTTCACTTGGTATCATCCACATCCCGAGGGCAACTCGAGGAATACAGAACACAGTGAAAACCACTATTCCAAAGCATTATTTAAAAATACGCATTTAGGGGTGCCTGAGTGGTTCAGTCGGTTGAGCATCCCACTCTCGATTTTGGCTCAGGTCATGATTTCATGGTTGTGGGATCGAACCCCACATGGAGCTCTGAGCTCAGTGGGAAGTCTGCTTGTCTCCCTCTCCCGCTGCCCCTCCTCCCCCACTTTCTCGCTCTCTCAATAAATCTTTAAAATAAATGTGTTTAAAGTTTACTTAATAGTTATTTACTATTACTACTAACATAAAAATGTTAATTATAGATACTGGATTTTTATGGTCCTTTTTTAGGACAAGAGTAAGTTAAATAGAAAGAACAACACAGACTGCGCTATTTAACCACTCTAACTAAGCTGTCTCAACTATTACAAGGGAATAAAATCAATCTTGTAAGATTGACCTATACAGAAACTAAATTATTTCTATAAATAACTTGGTACACTACACAAAACATAAAGATTTCAATAAAAGTGTTTATTTGTTTAATTACTAGCCATAATTATTGTTGCTGAGTCAGTCAGCATACCTAAATAGCTGGGTTAGCCTTCTTGAGAGGTTCCTAAAACTATAAAGTAAAATGACTACTTAAAAGAAACACACATAATAGAGAAAAATCCTTGGAAAATATTGATCCTGAAGACCTCATTTGCATACCCATTTGTGTTTGTGCAGACTGGCCAATAAAATAATGCACAAATTCTATAATGAAAGACTGCTTTAGGTCATAAACTAGAATCGTAATTGATGAAAAATTTCTCATAATAGAAGGCTGAGTAATTCCATTTCCCAAGTCCTTTCTGGTTTGAGGGCTACAGTCAGGGTATGTTTTATAGTAGATATCAAAATTCCAATTTATAAAAACAATATCCTATAGAGTAAATTTGCATCTATATTTTAAATATTTCAGCTTTAATGGCCATAAAGAAAAGTCACAAAATTTCAAATATTACCAGATTGAATTATATTTCATTTTTAATTCTGAAGAACCATATAAAAGGGAAAAATAAAGAAATGTTGAAATTTGAAAAAATTTGAATTCTATATATTTTTAGAAGTTCATACATATAAATTTATATTTTTATGACAGAATAAAAGCATACTTTTTGATATGATATACTTTCGGCTGTGTGAACATCTTCCTGGTTCCTCAGGACTTTCTGTGTGTCCATGTTCAGCACCTGAAGCTGCTGGATGAGCTCTGCTTGCTGCGCTGTATGTGCACTGTTCTGCTTGTAAAGATTCTGCAGCTCCTGCAGCTCCTTCCTGTGTAAAGCAAGCAATAAATACAGAGAGGCAGGAATAAAGATCATCTCAGCTAAATAACTGTGTTCATCGAAGGTTACAGATCATCTTCCAGTTTTTTCATCTATTGTTTTTTACTGCAGGCAAACATATTAATAAAAGAAATAACATATAAAGTATTTAATATTTATCACATACACCTAGAAAGTATTCATAGAACGACTATGACTTTCAAAGCCAGCTACTTGACAATTTTTTTTATAGCTTAATAGTAATAAAAACCTTGGATATGCAGACACTGTACCACCTTCTTATTGAAAGTAAGTTACACTTCAGTTACAAGAACTGAGAAGTACTGACGCCAACAATAGTTATCAGTTCTGAATAGTGGGTAAGTCAACCTTCACTGTATACTATACAAAACTTTATTTTTAAAAAAGATTTTTTTATTTTATTTGAGAGAGAGAGAGACATAGAGAGAGAGGGAACACAAGCAGGGGGAGTGGGAGAGGGAGAAGCAGGCTCCCCACTGAGCAGGGAGCCTGATGTGGGGCTCGATCCCAGGACCCTGGGATCATGACCTGAGCTGAAGGCAGATGCTTAAGGACTGAGCCACCCAGGTACCCCTATACAGAACTTTAAATGTATTAAAAGGAATCCCAAAAGACAAGTTAAGTTTCAAACCAAAGTTCCTTAAAGCACCACTGGTTTGCAACCTCAGGGGTCTGGGCTGGGATTCTTGTAACTCTTCTAATGCAGACTGAAGAAAAGATGAAGGGAAAAAAAAGCCAGAAGGAAGGAGAGCAACACAAGGTGAACACCAGTCCTTCTAACCCACCCAGAGTGCAAGTGGTAAGGAGGAGGACAGATGAACTGGGGGTTTTAGTACTAATGGCACTGAGGGTCCAGGAGAACCATCCCTTCTGGAATACAGGTTTCCAGAGTTCTGTGGTAGTGAAGACTGTGTGATACACATCATATAAAACTGGAGCATATTTTGTATATTCAATTGGAAGAGAAAACTAATTACAGAGATACATTTCACAGAAATACACTTTATAATATGTATTCTGGAGACTATTTTTTAATGGAACTTTTTAAACCTATAACTTCAAACTGATAATTCATTCTCATAAGGTAAGTCTTAAGGAAGGAACAAAAAAGAGATGCAAACAGTTGTTGAAGACAGATGAAGATTAATATGGGAAAAATGCTCTGCTTTTTAGCGGTTTAGAATATTGTTTTCCAAATACAACACCCACCCCACACCCATACAGATAACCCGAACATACACCACCTGTCTCAGTCCTTTCTGACCGCTATAACAAAATATCATGCCCTGGGTAGTTTTACAAACAACAAAAATTTGTTTCTCATAGTTCTGGAGTCTGGAAGTCAGAAATCAGAATGCCAAGTAAGGGCCCTTTTCTTAGTAGTAGACTTCCTGTTATATCTTCACATGGTCGACAGACATTAGAGAGCTCTGGGAGGTCTCTCTAGCTCTCTCTCCCTCATATAATTGAATAAAATATTTAAAAAGAAAAGAAAAAAACATACTCAAGAGTAGGGAAATGCTCATACTATGAGGCACCTGAGGATTAAAAATCAACCAAGGGAACAGCATATCCCTGTCTCCCATGTCATGCTATGTCCTGGGCATACTCCTAGTAAGTGGAGTGGAGCATCATCTTACACTATCGAGATAAGTTTCTTCCTCTGTGTCGCCCCACACCACCTTCTGAAAAGCAGATGAGATCAATGTACACCGATGTTGCAAAAATGAAATGTGGAACTTGATTGGTATCAAAGTAAGCAACAAACAAAGCTTATAAAAGGCATAGCTCTGGACCACTAGTGAACACTGAATTTGTCTAGATCCTTCCTTATTTGAAAATGAGTAAAGAAAAACAAACTGGACCTATTAAAAGGGGAGTAGTAAGAATTTAGAAAAAAGAAATTTTATTGTACATACAAGGAAAAGTATACCTTGAGAAGTTACTGAAGGAATTAGAAGGAAGATCTAGAAAAAGTATGAAAAAGAAACCATCACACCTCTCTGAATTATCAATAGAAAGACAAGATGTGAAGATGATCTTAATAAAGTCTCTATGAAGGCAGGGACTTTTTTTGTTCACTGCTATAAACAGCACACCTAAGACAGTTCCTGTCCCTTATTATATCTGCTAGTGTATTAGACACATCTTACACATTATGTTCAGATTCAGCCTACACTTGCCTCTTAGAGTCTCATTCCCTTGCTCTGTCTCAGCTTATTAAACTACCACTTCCACCTATGAAATTTATACAGCTCATCTGTCTCCATTGCTTGAAGTCAACCAGCTGCATTCCTAGCATGTTTGTGCCATTTCCAGGTTAGGATAAATGCTAAAACACAGGCATGGTATAAGCAACTTTTACCAATGAAAGACAAAACACAAGAAGAAACCAAAAAAGTAACTTTTTCTCTTTTTCCATCTGACGGATTGCTCTAGAGCACAGTTTCTCTCCCACAGCCTGTCAGGAATCAACCTGAGTAGCAAATTCAGTGCACCTGCTGTCTCTTCACAGCTCACCACGAAGCAGTAGCCAGCACAATGATGCATTTCCTTGAACTACTTTTTATTCTTGCCTGCCTCATTCTTCTTCTCTTACTCACTTTCCCCTGGAATTGAATCTCCCAAGTAAGTAATCAGAACTTAATCCTTCCCTCAGGCTCTGTTTTCTAGGATATATGGCATAAGACAGATATTAAACGGATGAAATGAAAAGCATAACATAAAGAGTGTTGAAAAGAAAGATGCCATGATAGTATCAAAATGCATAATGAGAGCGATTATAAGGAAAATAAAAGCTACGGAAAATAAAATTAATTGGTAGGTTCAAACCTGAGAAGTTCCTGTAGGCACAGATGAAAAGGAGTAAAGGAAAGTGTGGCTTGAACTCAGACAGTGCTAAGAACCAACAACATTTTCTCCTATCTCAAGAAGAATGTTAAATCCTGTTAAAAATACTGGATTCCTGAAAGATAAATCTGGTGATCTTTGAGTTACAGTGATGCTATCTAAGGGACTGAGTGGGCCATGGGATAAATTAGGCAGCTTCTCCAGGTTATTTTGCAGTTTAAAAAAAAAAAATCTTGATAATTTACAGAAACAAAGAAACAAAAAAAATTTACTGCTTGTTCACATTACAGGTGGCTTCCCGCTATTCTAAGACCCACACTGCAGCAGCAGACTGCATTAGAAATATGCCACTCTGGTGGCAGAGGGTGAAAAGCAAAGGCAAATCAAGGAATGACTTTTAAAACATTAGGACATGGCATATGTTACTTTCACTCTTGTCCCACAGGTCAAATGAATCACATGGCTAAATCTGATACCAATGGGGGAGAAAGCAGACTCTAGCAACAGGGAAGGCCCTGATAAAAATGGGCCCCTGAGATGAATCGAAATAGAGTACAGGAATAAACACATCAAAAGTAAAAAGTTTAGTTATGAGCACCGAAGCAAAATATAGGACTAATCCTAAATGTCTTCGGTCACTGTGGTTATAAATGTTATACACCTTGAGATGCAAAATCAGGGGGAGTTAAAATGGTTGAATGTATGTTCTATTTTCCAAAGATTATACAGCAGGATGTCAAAATGAAATAAAGATAAAATGTAGTTTTAAAAAAAATATGACATTGACCTCCAAAGTTTTTCATGTCATTTTGTTCCTAGCTTTAGAGACAGAGAGTTAGTGGTTTTTACAGAGAAGAGATTTAATAATTCCCTTAATTTCACATCAGTGTCTTACGTTCCATTATATCACCAAAACTAAAGTCTACTTATTAAGAGAACATGTTCAATACAGTCTCTTTTATCTAAAAACTTCTGCCCAGCTAATCTTCAACCTGTAAATATAAACTGAGAAAAATCTAGGATGATTCTCACAAAATTTTAATGGTTGTTACTTCTCCAGAGTTGTATTTATGTGTAATACTTTTCCTCTATCTTCTTTGTACTTTGCTGTACTGCATGCCTTTTTAAAATAATTCATATGTATCATTACACCAAATAATTATGTACTTACTTTGTTATCATAAAAATGTAAACAAAAATAAAGAACAGCAATATTAATTTCATAAGAATTCGAATCCAAGGCAAAAAAATTACACACAAAAAAGTAAAATTCACAGTAAAAACAAAAGAACTGTGAACACTACCCATGAAATCACAGCACATCGAACAAGTACAGCAAAAAACTATAAGCAATAAAAGGAAAATCAGTTGGAAACTATATGGGAAGGAAATATTCCATTTAAAATAGTACCAAAAACATGATATTATCTAGGATAAATTTAACAACAAATGTCAAAACCCTTTAGAAACTTAAAACATCTTCTAAGTATACAAAGGTACTGAAAGAAATGGAATGGCATACCATCCTCTGGGACAGGAAGATCCTGAACAATGTTTCTATAAGTTGAGGTTTCTTTGGGAATTAATCATATTATAGGCAAATAATCAGGTCTTTTCCTTTCAATTCCAGTCCTTATGTCTTTAATTTTTAATCTTGCCTTACTACATACTTGGTATTTCTGACTATGTGCTAGACATTAGTTTGCAAAACTGTGGATATAATTTGAGGACAGAATTATTACATCATCTAACAGAAATAATCTACACTTGCTTCTGGTACGTCCCTGGGAATACTAGCAATCCAGATAATTAATCCAATTTCAGGATTCCGACTTTGATGATATTTCTAACCCGGATTATGACTGTACTGTCCTGACTTTTTTTTTATTTTTTGCAGGAAATTTATAAGTAATTTCTATGAAAAATTCCCAACTCATTAGCAATAGCCCACGTCCATGTAATTTGGCCCACCCTCCATGTAGCCATTTAGCCCACCTTCCATGTAATCACAGAATCGTTACCTATTCAGGCAAAAATTTTAGTTAGGAAACTTAATTGGCTAGCACTTTTATGCAAGTATGCAAGTTCTAAGTATATACTCAGATGTCCTATATGCATTATAGACATTACCTTATTATATATGTGCTTATATCCTTATACTCTGACTCAGGGTAAAAATCATTTGAGGTAGTTCAGAACAATGTTGCATATCACAGTGGGTGACATGAATATTCAATAAGTATACAAATGACCATGAATTCCAAAGAAATAAACCCATAAAGAAATAAACCTACAACAACTCTGTCATACATCAATAAGGAAAAGTGTAACCAAATAAGAAAGTGCCTAGAATACTTTTCCCACGATTATGGCTTTGTGTATCTTTTGTACAATATATAGATTCAATAAAATGATACTGGTACATCATAATCAACAACACCCCCCTCCAAGAAATAAAAGGATAAAGGAAAGGAGACATAATATACCCAACAGGTAACCCTTAATCAGACAACTCAGGAGAAACACTGTAGATACCTCAACTATCACCCTATAATGAGGGTTTGAGTCATGTTCCTCTGCTCCATACTTCCAACTCTGCACTATTTTCTTCTCCTCTATGAGTCCTTAAAATAAAGCTCTTAAAATTACACATGGTCCATTATTTTACTATTGTGTAAGCAAATGTCCATCTGTGGATATTATTGCCTTATTTACTGTAGCTTATAGCTCTTGTAATACATGAAATTCAAGTACACAAAGGGGAAAATATAGTAGAAAACATAATTATTCAAATGCCATGCACTTAACACTGCAATGCATCCTAGAATAATCCCATGTTCCATCCAAATCATACCCTAAAAGAGATAGGTCATCATTGGAATATTTTGTGCAGTTATAGGTGCTATATTTTAAGAAAAATATTGATGATATAGATACTGATGATATGGAATGCATTCAGAAATGCAACTGAAACTAGTATAACATCTATGAAATATATACATGAAAAATTATGAGAAATAAGAGTAATTAATGAAAAGATAAAGTTATGGGTAAAAATATTATTTGAAGATTATTTGAAAATAATCTTCTCTTATTTGAAGATCTATGCTACAGAATAGAAATTAGATTGTTTCTGAGAGTCTCTAGATAAGGATTCAAGATAAATGGGTGGATATTATAAAAAAGCAAATTTCAACTCAATATATGAAACAATGTTCAAATTTAAACGATATAAAGTGAAAAGAACAGCCTTGAAAAGTACCTCAACTTATGAACCCAAAGTATCAAACAAATACTAAAAGGCATATTATCTTACTGAGAAGAAGACAGGAATAAATGATAATTTTAAGGTTTCTTATAAATGTATGATTCTATAACTATTTAAAATTACTTTTCTGACTTTATCGAATTTTAGTCTTAAAAAATAATCATACCATGAATAGATAAGCCAACCAGTCTATCATCCTTAATTTTATACTTTTCCTCAACCCTATGATAAGATGATTTTTAAATTGTGATACAGTGAAGTTTTGCTTAGGTAATAAATTAATATATATACATTAACTGCTACCTAACCAAAACTCCTGCCCTGACATATCTATAGTTCTTACAATGTACTAAATATATATAAAGACATATAAATATGTACTGAATATAGACATATACAAAAATACATACATATCAAGTTTTAACCACACAATTATTATTGAATATAATACAAATACATAGAATTTATATATATTACATATATAAATATCTCACATTTGTGTGTGTATATAAACATATGATAGTACAACCAGAGAATGAAATTGTGCTTATAGAAGTATATGATAAACTTTGATTGTATTATTTACTTTAAGTAGTTTAAGTAAAAAATGCACATACATACATACGTGTATTTGTATGTATGTGTATACAGATAACATGTATATATGCATGCATATACATTTATACATTTATGATTTATTTTAATACCATTTTCTGATAAAAGTAACTGAAGTAAGTTATTAGGTAGTATAAATTATTTCAAAAACACTTAAAAACAACTTTTTCAAGTAATTCTACTTTGTGAGTAGTGCTACAAATTGACCATTCTGGTGTCAAAAGAATATCTCACAAACTAAACTATTTAGAACATAATAAAATAAAAAGTCAAAACTGGATTTCTCATACATTGCCTATTAGAAGAATAATGAATATTATACAACACCTGGCTGGGAATTTTTTAGAAGGAAACAATGAGTGAATGCACTGTCCTTGTTAAAAATGGAGACAAGACTACTCTCTCAGAATGCTCTTCCCAATCCTGTGAAACCCCTGATTCTCTTAGTTACTATTCTCAGTTTGGTATACATAATTCCAGATAGTTTCAAAACACAAACATATGTCCTCATAGAAGACATACTGTTGTCATTTTAGGGTGCTAATAATAAACATATATGTCGCCGTTCTGAATAACTAATGACTTTACTATAATGTTAAATTTAAAAAATTGAATATACTTGCCTGACAAGGGTAATATCCATATCCTTTTGTTTAAGTTCAGTCTGTTTATTATCCAACTGTAATGATACAGCATTATATTTACTCTCTGATACTTCAATTTCTTTCTTTGCTTCGATTAAACTGTCTTCAAAGGCCTAAAATCAGAGGACATATATCACAATCAAATATAAGTATCAAATAAATAAATGTAAGTGAATTATATTTAACTAATCTACAAAATGAGAGTAAAAAATTGGTAGTGTTTTTAATTTTTTGTTTTCATTTAAATAAAAAAATTTTAGTATAAACAGTAACTTTAATACCAGTCACAGTTTACTTTTTTTAGAAAATGAACAAGTATCATAGCTTCCTGGTACAAAAGCTAAGAATTTGAAGCAATTAAATGTGAAAATCTACGTAGAAATGTACTTATTGAAATTACAATATAGAAATTATTGTACAATGAAAAAGCTATTAATTACATGAATAAAAATGAGTTCATTTACTTAAATAGTAGTTGGGACAAACAGCAGATATTTCATCATTTCCTCTATTTTAAATGTATACACATAGCTATACTAGGGGAAAAAGGGACAACACTGCGAAAATATCAACATAATTTTATAATATTTGAGATTCAGATAATGCTCAGTTCCCCTGATTGTAATGAAATTTTTCCTCAAGTTTTTCAAAGTTGGCTTTTTCCTCCAGATAATTCTGTTTTTTTATTCATTTTAAAACTATTTCAAAATTAATGTTATTTTCTAAAGCTATATTTTCTCCAAAATATAAAACTAATTTTGATTATTTTCATAAAGTATTAAATAAATATAATATCTAAAAATAGAGTATACCCACATAAATGCTATACATTCATTATTTGCGGAAGTGAGCAGTAGGTTTTACATCAAGCACTACTCTAGTCTAGCCATGATTTCATACTTCATATATTACCCTATAGTAGCTAGAGTAATATTTTGAAGATAAAAATATTGGCTTTCAGCTAAGAAAGCACTCCAAGTACTTCCTAAATTTCCATTTCCTACACAGAGGAATGACAGGAAGAGAGAGAAGGAGGGTGCCTGAGTGGCTTAGTTGGTTAAGCAACTGACTCTTCATTTCAGCTCAGCTCATGATCTCAGGGTCGTTGGATCCAGCCCCACATCCAACTCCACACTCAGTGGAGAGTCTGCTTGAGATTCTCTCCTTCTCCCTGTCCCTTTGCCCCTCCCCTCACTCATGCATGCACACTCGCATGCACTCTCTCTCTCTCCCAAATAAATAAACAAATCTTAAAAAAAAAAAAAAAAAGAAAGAGAAGGGGGAAAAAAAGAGTACTGGCATGGATATGAGAAAGCTGAAACCCCTGTAAACTGTTGGGGACTATAAATGATGTAACCCATATGGAGGGGTGGTTAACTGCTCAAAACATTAAAAATGTAACTACTAGGGGCACCTGAGTGGCTCAGTCCTCAGTTGGTTAGCCGTCTGATTTCGGCTCAGGTCATGATCTCAGGGTCCTGGGATCGACCCCCTTGTCAGGCCATACACTCAGCGGGGAGTTTGCTTGTTCCTCTCCCATGCCCCTCCCCCCTATTGTGCTCTCTCTCTCAAATAAATAAATAAGATTTTTAAAGAAATTTTAAAAATAAAAATAAATAAATGTAACTACCATATAATCCAGCAATTTCACTTCTTAGAGCAGAGTCTTGAAGAGATATTTGCACACCCATGTTCATACCAGCACTGTTCATAATAGCCTAGAGGTAGAACCACCTATATGTTGGATGAATAGATTAAAAATGGGGCCTATACATAAAACAGAAAACAATGAAGCTTTAAAAAGAAAGAAATCCTGTCACATGCTACAACATGGATGAACCTTGAGGAAACTATGCTAAATTAAATAAACCAGTCACTAAAGGACAATTACTATATGATTCCATTTATATGAGGCATCTAAAGTAGTCAAATTAATGGACACACAAAACTAGAATGGTAGCTACCAAGGGCTAGGTAAAAAGGGAATAAGGAATTAATTAAAGAGCAGAGACATGTAGTTTCTACAAGTCAAAGTCCTAGTATACCTTTCACAGCAATGTATATTTACTTAATACTACTGAACTATACATTTAAAAATTTTTATAGTGGTAAATTTTATGTTATGTGGTTTTTACCACAATTTTTTTTAAAAGGAAGGAAATTTTGAGGTGCCTGGGTAGCATCTGACTCTTGATTTTGGCTCAGGTCATGATCTCAGGGTTGTGAGACTGAGCCCTGCGTCAGGCTCCCTGATGGGCTTGGAGCCTGCTTAAGATTCTCTCTCACCCTCTTCCTCTAGCCCTACCCCCCACTTGTGTGCTCTCTCTCTCCAAAAAATAAAATACATAATAAATAAAAAGGAAGGAAATTTTGACATATGCAACACATGGATGGAACTTGAGACCACTAGGTAAAGCAAAATAAGCCAGCTTCAAAAACTAAAAATACTGTATGATTCCTTTTGTATGAGATATCTGGAGTAATCAAACTCATAAAAACAGAAAGAATGGTAGATGCCAGGGAGGGAAAATGACAGAGTTGTTTAATGAGTACAGATTCATGTTTGAAAGATGAAAAAGTTCTGGATACTGGCTGCACGGTAATGTGACTATACTTAACACTACTGAACTGTATACTTAAAAATGGTAAAGACTGGGATGGCTGGGAGGCTCAGTCGGTTAAGCATCTGCCTTCGGCTCAGGTCATGATCCCAGGGTCTTAGGATCAGGTTCAGCATCGGACTTCTTGCTCAGCAGGGAGCCTGCTTCTCCCTTTGCCTGCCACTCCCCCTGCTTGTGCGTGCTCTCTCTCTGACAAATAAATAAATAAAATCTTTTTTAAAAGTAAAGATTGTAAATCTTATGTTATGTGTACTTTACCACAGTTAAATTAAAAAAAACAAACAAACACAGAGGCCAGATTTAATTTGACCAAACTGTGAAGCAATCTGTATCCCAGGACATTGTCAAAAAAAAATAGAAAAATCAGCTAGCAATTTCTGATGAGCAACAGCTGGGTGTGATACCAACAATGACAGACATTAATAGAGAGATCAAGAGAAGAGACAGTGAGGGAGATCTCTGCTAAAATCACTATGATTCCATGGTGAATGTGCAAATGTCCAAGTCTGGCTTTCTGAAAAGCAGGAGAAATAGACTTTAGTAAAATGGTCCAGCCAAACCACTAAAAAACAAGTAAGCAGACATCCCTGAGGATAAGGTAGTAAGGAATCAGTATCCAAAACTGATATCATATACAATTTTAAATGTCCATTTTCCAACAAAAAATTACAACATGCAAAAAAAGAGGAAAGGAAGCAGGCAATAGAAATAACTAAACAAAACCATTCTTTAAAATATACCCTATCATTAAAAAAAAACAAAAAAAGATGACAAGGTCTCATCCAATAAAAAAAAATGCCAATAAAGTGATATAAATTATTTTAAAACATCCAAATGGAAATGGAAATCCTGGTGTTAAAAAGCAAAATAAACAAAATGAAGAGCACCAAAAAATTCACTAGCATAGCTGAGTATTTAATACAAGATGACAAAAATAAGAAAAAACAAAGATAAATCAAGAAAAAAAGAATAACAAAAAAGTTAACAGCCCCAGAGAAATGTGGACACCACAAAATGCACCAACATAAGCATAATGGGACTACAAGAAGAACAGGCAAGAGAATAAAAATAGAAGAAAAATTCAAAGAAATAATGACTGGAAACTACCCAAAAATCCTGAAAAAAAATTAATCTAAACATCTGTGAAGCTCAACAATCTCCAAGTATTGTATATGTATAAATCCACAAACAGACATACAGTAAAAATACTGAGAGCTGAAAACAAGAAAATCTTAGACACCACAAGAGAAAAACCACTCCTCATTTTCAAGAGACCTCAATAAAATTAACTGACTTTTCTTCAGAAATAATAGATGCCAGAGACAGTGAGAAAACAATTCAAAGTCCTCAAAGAAACAAACAAACAAACAAACAAAAACACCTGCCAACACAGAAACATATATACAGTAAAGCTATCATTTAAAACTAAAGGTGATGAGTGACATGAGGAAAATAATAGAGTATGCAGCTCCAAGCACTCTTGCCCTGGCAGAAATATCAAAAAGAAAGCAGAAACTCTCAGAACCAATGTTAGAAAAACTATGGCATGCATTCAAAGGTTTACAACAACCAACCAAATGCTGAGCTAAAAAAATAAAAGCAAGTTAAAAATGGGACTAAAGTTTTATGGAGTTTTCACTTGCCCTTCCCCACACTGTCTCCAGCAAGCTAACCTTAAAGTGTGATATTCTTAATCTTAAAGCAGTGATATTCTTAGAATGGCAGTAGCCCATGTTCCCAGCTGGAGATGCTGGTTCCTGGTTTGGAAGGAAGCAGAACAGACTTTACAGTAAATTAATATGTGGGTCTATTCTAATTTATCTGAGGGCAACCTGAAGGAATGATGCAAAGTGAATGTGTCTATTTGATCTAACTGGGAACAAAGACTGGATAAATGGCTCAAAAATACCACAAGATAAACTAATGAACCACAGATGTGTGGGACAAAAGATTATTGGTTGAGATATACAACAGAATGCCTCAGACATGGGAGCAAAAGCCTTGGGAGATTCTTGGGGACATTAGGACTTTCAAAAATACCTACTGATTTGGGAGAGTTTAGAAAGCCACAGAGAGGCTCAGAGAAAGATGCATGCTCAGAAAAGAGAAAAGAAGACCCGAAGTTTTACCCTTGGCTGAGCTCTGAGCTCAGGGCAAATATGGGTAATTATTGAAGGAGTGTCTTAGCATAGAGTCAATACAAAGACTGGGAGAGGGATTTGTTTTGTGTCTGTGGATGTGTGTATTTTTTTTTGCTTCTTTGTGTTTTGTTTGTTTATTTTGGTTCCTGCCATTCAGGGATAACTGTGAGGCAATGTGAGGTGAACAAAAGCTAAAGGATAGAAACCTCAGTGACCTTATACAAGTGACCTTACATTCTAACAAATGTAGATTGGAAGATTATCTAGACTACCACAGCCTTCAACAATTAAAAAAGCAGCAAGGCTTCAGGAAGGGGTAGAATCTGACTTCCAGAGTTACCACATACTCAT